CCCCCCCCCCCCCTCCATCGAACTTATTTCTAGTAAAATTATTATTTGTTGTTTTATTTTATATTATATTCAAAAAGAGAGGTCCTTTTTCATTTCATGTAGGATCTTATTCCAGATCTCAGAGTTGTCAAGTATTTACTAGTTTAAATTCCATACCTTAAATTAGAGAGTAATTTGCGAGAAGCATCTTTGTATATATATATATATAAATGAATATTCGTGCGTTTTTTATCATTATTACACAATTTTCTCAGATCTGTACCTTTATTGTTTCAATAAAAAGCTTGAAAGAGAGTTTTATTTTAAGGTCAGGATAAGACAATTTCAGGGCCGAGCGCCGCGGCTAGGACAGGTTAGGGGTCCGGGCGCTGCGGCCACGTGACCAATTCCAACTGTGTGATACATATGATATGCATGTGAAAAAATGATAGAATGGGGGGCGGTCTAAAAATATTTCTTCAGGAAATTACCCAGATTTCACAGATCCAGTCCAAGGGAGGTGAGCCCTCATTAACAACCCCTTTGTACACCTCCATCAATACAGCTGAGCAAAATTTAAGGATTGATGAGGGTAAATGTAAACGTAACAGCAATAACGCTTCCTAAAGATTCATCGGTAATTACCCTAATAAACGAAATTTGGACCCCCTCCCTCCTATCAATTTTATACCAAGATCTTATATGAAAAACATGGATGTAATTGTTCATGTGGCCGCGGCGCCCGGCCCCCTAACCTGAACTAGCCGCAGCGCTCGGCCCCCTAGCCCATCCTAGCCGCAGCGCTCGGCCCAGAAAGTGTCTTAACTAACCTAACCCGTGGCCGCAGCGCTCGGCCCCCTAGCCCATCCTAGCCGCAGCGCTCGGCCCAGAAAGTGTCTTAACTAACCTAACCCGTGGCCGCAGCGCTCGGCCCCCTAGCCCGTCCTAGCCGCAGCGCTCGGCCCAGAAAGTATCTTAACCTAACCTAACCCTAAATAAAAAAAATAAATAATAATAAATTTGCTGAAAAAGAAATGGTCATGTACAAAATTGATAGGAGGGGGGGGTCCAAAAATCGTATACTATGACAGACCCCGGCCCCCTAGCCGCAGCGTTCGGCCCAGAAATTGTTGTATCAACCTGACCTAAGTCTAAAATAAGACAGAACTTAAAATAAGTTATAGTTAGTGATCATGTGCAAAATTGATAAGAGTGGGGCCGGGGTCCAAAAATCGTATACTAGGATGGACCCGACCGATCTATCTGAACTAAATTTACACTTTATAAAATGTAAATTTATGGATATTGATCACAAATTTATTCACGAGGTTCTCACCTTACGATATTTTAACTTAAAACAAAACTATCTGGATTAATTAGAAATCACTTAAAATACATTTCGAGACCTGTCAAAGTTTACATGTACTATCCAAACCAAACCGGTTGCAACGCTTCCAAACAAGGGTACGACAGGTTTTGGCGGGCTGTCCTGACGTCACCATTGCCGCGGCAAATTGTAGAAGGGAAATCGTCTTTAATTTTCCTCTGCAATGACGACATTTAAATATTCTTCCTTCATATCATCCACAGATGAGTATTGGAACATTTATTCAAGTAATAAGATCCCTGGTAGTAGGGCTTCATAAATTGCAATAATATAATTGGCAATTGATTTGGGCTCATTCAGGCTCATAGTAAGGATTTTTCCAAGGGTGGTGTTTAAGTAAGGGCCCAGGATCATCGAGTGAAACGCGTGTACGAGGCGGGGGGTTGAATGGGGGAAGAGTCCCCCCGGCATAGAATTTTTAGCTTGAATTTTATGTTTTGAAGGGAACACAGAAAATTTTGATAATTAAATTTTTAGCTCAATTACAATACTGGATACCAGAAAATGTTGATAATTTTGATATTATACTCACGACTGATTTATGATTGTATGGAAAAAATATTGAAACTAAGGCAATGTTTCTGCAAAATTTAACGAATTGAATTTTTTATTCATATATTATTTGTTATAAATATTATAAAAAAAATATTACAGGGTGTCCCACATCATATTGGATCGCCAATGGCTTTAAATAACGATTTCTGGGAGTAATCAGATTTAAGAAGAATGAATCATTTTAAAAAATTCAATAAAGCTAATATAAAAATTTGCATTCAGAAAATGCTAGGTTTTCAGGGGCGGATACAAGGGGGGGGNAGATTTCGAGGCAAAAAATGTTCCCAATTTGATAAATGTTATTGTTAACGATAAATTTAGAATTAGAAATTTGTAAGAAACTTAAGTTATAATATTGTTCATATCTAGTAATGTTCCTTAATCAATACTCATTTATCAAATTTGTAATATTGTTCCTAATTCGTAAATCTAATGAGCTAAGTTCATTCATTCAATCCAAGAAACCTAACCACATAAGTCTCAGGGTCAAGCACAGGAAGGACGAATACTACTGCAGTATATGCTCAGAATATCCATCTTCCATGGTACCTGGAGATAAAGTAGTCCGTCACAGACATAATTCTTCCAAGTTTATAAGAATGTACTCTGCCCCCCTGAGATGGGCGGAATACAACTGCACAACTTGCAAAACTACTCCTCACTCTCATAAGACCGGAGTAAGGCATCCAGTACTTGTGACCTCCAGCATCCTCAACAACTGGCAAGGATCGAAGAAGAGATATCCAGGTGGCGATATTCATGTTGATATAATCGGTATTCCTGGTGCAACCATCAAAATGCTACACCATGCCTTCATGGCCGAATTTAAGAACAGCTACAGACCAGTTGATGTTCTGCTTGTTGGCGGGCTAAACGATGTCATGAGGGGAAGATCTCTAGACAAGATCAAGAGGGACCTGACCAACTTTAAGAGAGACGTGACCTTGCTTAAGAGATCCTGCGGAGGCATAGTAGAATGTACGTTTGCTGCTGCTACAGTTCCCTACCCTCCTAAGATCTCAGCACTACCGACTGAACAGAGACAAGTTGAGGCAAATCGGTTTGATACCCTGAGTAAGATGACTGACTTTATTAGAGAGTTGAACAGGGATAAGGTTAACACTGTTCACAGCATTCCTCGGGGATCATACAATGCTCCGACATATCATACTTGGGGTATGAAAACTGTTCATGCTGATCCAGATGTCTATGGTCCGAGGAACAGAATGGAAAATATGATCGGATACAGAGCCCCACAATGGAGAGAAGAAGTCTATGAAGAGATGGTCCACCTTGATAATAAATCCCGTCTAAGGATGGGCAGAGCGGCCATCAAGTACTTCATGGTACTCTATGATCTGATTAAGTGCAGTGCTGACTCAAAGGTTAAAGGCCTTGAAATCGAGAAACGTAAACTAGAGCAGGAGTCCAGCTCTTCCAAGAAGTGCAAGTTTACACAGGTTATGCGTTAAAGCTGCAGTTCTATCATGCACATTCTAATATTGCGGTGAAGCGCCTTTTGTTATGTTTATTTATATTTTTGTTTTCAATTAATTTAGTGAAACGCCGTTCTAGTTTTCCTTAAACATTTTTTATGTTTTTAATAAGGTGTCAGAATTATTCTCCTTAAAAACTGGTCAAATGAGAATTCTAAGAATTCAATTTTAAAGCTGAAAATTCAAACTACACCAATTATCAAATTGAAAAGCTTTAGAATTTTAAATATTAAGGCCTCGAATACTTTAATCCATCAATTGAATCCAACATTTGAACTGTAAGATCTTAGATTTGAGACTTTTAAACACTACAACTAGTAAATATCCTCTCACTAGTCCTTAACAATAGTCTATCTTATGTTTCTGTAAAATACTAATAGCAGATTATGTAATCCATGGATCTCATGCAACTAGTCCTCGCATAATTAATCTACCTTGTTTCAAACACATTTCGCCAACAATTTAAAACAAGATAATACTGTTACTTAATGGTGAATCGCCTAACCATTTTATTTTTCCAATTTTTGTATTTTTGGCAATTCCTTCTGACCCCCGTCACAGTTTCTGCTTCTGATCCTTTCTACTTGTACTTTACTTTAGACTAAAACCTTAAAATGTACATTGTAAGCATTTTTTTCATAGTTCTACAGTCTATCATTAATGCTCATGTTTAAACCACATCTCGTTAACACTTCAAAACGAGACCCCATTGGATACTTAATGGTGTATCGCCTTATTTGTTTTTATTGTTCCTACTTTTTCTTTATTCATGTACGTTATTCGCATCTCGTGTTGTTGTTTTATATTTTTTCGGATCACCGTCTAAGATTCTGCTTTTGTTGCAATTGGTCTTTATTTGAACTGAAAAGTGAAAGCATATCGCTACGAGCCCTCATTAAATATTGTTAGCCCATTTTACTGTCATTACTGAATTTACTTAACTTCAAAATAAAAATGAAAATTGTGTCATTTACCAAATCTCTAAGATTTCCACATAAATAAACAGATGCTCCATGTAAAATATTAAAATCAAAATGTACATATCTTTGATATATATATACATAAATGTTATTTGATGTTTTTGTACTTTTGATCAATAAAAAGATTTGAATAATAATAATATTGTTCCTAATTTGCATGCATTTAAGTATAACTAGTAATTTCTGTTTGTTCTTAAATTGCTAATGTTCCTATTATTGTTCCTGTTCATGTGTCCGACCCACCTTAAATCTTTGTCCTAATCCTATTTTTTTGTTCCTAATTCCAAAACAATCCGTTTATTGTTCTTAAATCCCTGTCCTAATCCTTTAATTTTGTTCCTAATTCCTGAACAATCTTTTAATTGTTTCTAAATTCCTTTTCTAATCCTTTAATTTTGTTCCTAAAATTTAAAAATCTAGTTTTTTTTTAGTCTTTAGTCATTAATTTTGACTCTTTTTGAGTCTTTTAAGTCAAAAAAAAATTTCGCCTGCGGCACGATTTTTTGTTCCTAATTATTCATTTTTTTGTTCCTAAAAAATCTTGCCCCCCTCACTTAAATTCTGTATCCGCCCCTGTAGGTTTTTCGAGTATTATATGTTTATTTTGGTTTTAAAGCTTGGAAATCATCTAATAAGATATGAGACGCTCTGTATATATCAATATACAGGGTGTCCCACGAAATATGACAGTTGGTAAATAGTTTAGAATGTCTTCTTCCATAATTTTTTAAGTTGTTATAATACCAAATACAATTTAAAAAATATTATATAGGGGTAATTTTATATTAAAATTCTTTTCAAAGTAAAATATATTTGAGCGAAAGATTTTCTAAACGAAATAAATTGCATAAAGCATTTGATATCTAATACAGTGTATGGAAGACGAAATTAAAAACTATTTACCAACTGTCATGTTTCGTGGGACACTCTGTAGTCTGTATGCAAAAGACCTGAAACAAGTTCTATCAGAAAATCTTGCCTCAGACAAATATTGTTCCAAAAGGTTTTATTTGGTTAGTAAAAAAAAATTCGGACGCCATATACACTATACAATAAACAAAATTATAACAATTTATAAAACTTATAATACTAATATTGCAGTTTGATTATAACAAGCAACTTATCTAAAAGAGGGGGGGGGTGAAAATTCGTCGTTGCGCCCCCATTTTAGTAGAAAGGGGGGTGCACCTGACCCCTTGCCCCCCTCTGGCTACGAGCCTGGGCACATCTTAAATCAGAATTGATCGAGTAATGTTTTAATCACTTCCCAAGTTCCCAGTTCCATGTATTACTAAATATTTTGCTGGTTAAATTAAAAATTAATTTAGTTCAATTAGCCTTGGTTTAAAAACAAATAAACAAAAAAAGGGTTTTCATTGGACACCCTGTAGCATGCTTAAAGTAACCCTTCATTCATTCACATGAGGGAGTTGCCCGATTCACAACGGTACCCATGAAACCATAATTTGATTACCTTTGCTTCGGTAACGTCCTTTATCTAGCTTAGAGTGTTTATTTCCACAAATTGCTCCATTGCTTCTAAAGCAAGAAATTTGCAAGTCACTTTTTTTAGAGAAAGCACAAATGAAACATAAATATTGAATATGGATATCTGATTCATACTTGTTCATTCAAAGTTTTAAGGGTACATATGCTAATCGGAAATGGAAATGGAAATGTTTCACTTGAAATTATTTTTACAGTAAAACAATTTACTTGTATATATACACGAAATCAGCTTTTTATACTTTATTTTATATTTTAATGTATATTTAACATATTATTATTATTAAAAAGTAAAATTTAAAGCAAAAATATAAAAACAAAGAAACATTTGTTACAATAACTTGAAACTTTCTTCACTTTAGTTTCTAATCTTTTATCCTTAAACTTTGTTATTAATGCAACCAAATATTCGTTTGTCAGAAGTTTGTTAAAATCTTGCAAAAATGGTTGTCAACTCCAGCTAACAAGTTTAATAAGGAAGATTTTTGGACTGCTCAGATGAGATCCCCCCCCCCCGTGTCCCCATGGTTAAATCCAACTTTCCTAATCTAATCTTAGAAATGTAAACATGGTTTTACTTGAACTTGGGTCAATTTTTCCTTAAAACGTATATTTTTATTATACATCAAGTATAATTTATATTTAAATTCCAATATGTCCAGAATTCAAAATCCAACCCCACATAAATTTTCATGATTTAAAAATGATTTTCTTAAGATCATTTTGTGAATTTTGAACTATTTGTGTCACTGTTTAATTTCTAAGTATTTGTAACTTGTGGTATAGCTAAGGATATTTAGTACTTTTCCAAAGGCATTTTTTAAGCGGCCATTTCCCAAGGGTATTACCGTATTTTCCCAAGTCTTTACTAGCCGCTGCCCTCAACCCCCTAGCCTGTTACTGACGCAGCGCTCGGCCCCCTAGCACATTTAAGCCGCAGCGCTCAGTCCCATTGCAGCTTGCAGCGCCTCAGAAGGTCAACCTAACCTTTAGAAAGTAAACTCTTGGTAAATTGTATATTTGGGAAGTTACTACTCGGGAAATTGTCACTCGTGAAGTCGACCTTGGGAAAATGACTTGGGGAAAATACCTAACACAATGCTAAGGAAGTATAAGTGAGAAATATTGTCTCCAGAGAGAATACAGATTTACAGAGTGGGTTATACTAAAAGTCACCGTGAATTTATACATATCATTGACACTCTACGATGTTCACGAAACTGTAAGCGTAATTTCCATTGACTCTCCAGTTTTCATGCAAAGATGGCAATTTTCCCGATTTACAACGGTACTCTTAAAAGCGTTGTCTGATCAAGTATGAATTAGATATCTGCACGTTTATGTTTCTTAAAAATGTTTTATTTGCTGTTTCTCTGCAGAAGTGGTTTGCATATTTCTTGCTTATAAGAATCAATAGAAAAATTCACAGAAATAATCACTTTCCGAGTCAGAAAAACGAAGTTTCAAAGGTACTATATTATAAATCGGGCTTTGCATGGTGGGTCAGTAAAAATTACGCTTACAGTCCCTTTAATCGTAAACATTTAATGCGTATTTTGTACAAAGCTTTGTTTTGAACATAAAAATCATTGTTTACAATCTGATGTCGAATATAATGTAAGTAATTTATTCAGAAAGCACAAACCTGTATCTTTTAATTGTAGTTCAACGGATAAAAATAATTCCTAAATATATCCTTAATGATCTGACCAATCAGTGGCCGAATTTAGAGAATTTGAGCGGCGGTTTAAATTTATGCCGCGGCTTATATGTGGTTGGTTCCACTTAAAATTGTATCAAATGTTTCAAGATTTAAGCCGGCGCTTATTTTAAACCGGGTCTTGGCAGATTTAAACCGCGCTCAAATTCTTTAAATTCCATCTCAGAAGCATAAAAAACTCTGATCTAGGCCAAGCCAATGAGAGAACGCAAGTTAAAGACTTTTTTTCCAGCGTTTTTTATAAATTTTTAAATTAGTAGTTGTTGTGCTATCTTATACAAAAGTTTAAACTTCTGTTTGAATTTAAGTTTAAAACTTTAAGTCTGTAATTATTCATTCTCTGAGGAATTTTTGGTCTGCAATGTAAAGGCGATTGAGCTATGTTAGAATTTATTCTCTGAGGGATATCCTGGTCTTTATAGATGGCGAACTCCGTAATTATTTATGCTCTGATTGATATCCAGGTCTATGTACAGAGTGTACTCCGTAACTAAATATCATTTGAGGGATATTCTGGTCTATAGAGGGTGAAATCCGTAACTATTTATCATCTGAGGGATATTCTGGTCTATGTAGAGGGTGAACTCCGTATCTATTTTATCCTCTGAGTGATATCCTGGTCTATTTAAGAGTGTACTCCGTAACTATTTATCCTCTGAGAGATATCCAGGTCTAGAAAGTGTATTCTGTAACTATTTATCCTCTGAGAGATATCCAGGTCTAGAGAGTGTACTCTGTAACTATTTATCCTCTGAGAGATATCCTGGTCCATAAGAGTGTGAAGGAGATAATCTCTAAACTTCAACGATAAAAAGCAAACTTGAAACTTTAATCTAAGTTAAGATGATTGTCCCGTGTGTTCTTGTTC